CAGACTGCTAGTCAAAGTGAACTTGGGCAAGATACTGAACCCTGAGTTGCATCCGCTGTGTTCACTGGCGTTGAATGTGTGTGAATGTTAGATAGAAAGCACTTAGACATAGAAAAAAGTGATTTTGTGTGTGACTGGGTGAGAGAGACATGCTGTAGAAAGTGCTTTGAGTGCTCAGGTACTATATAAGAAAATTTCCATTTACCGTTTAGACTAAAGGAAGATCTGAAACTGAAACGATTTAGAATTTTAACTAGCTTAAGGTGGAAAAAGTGACCTGGTTGAAAAAAATCTGACTGCCTGTCATGGGCATGTCATGCTACCAAGACAAAGGGACAAACCACTTCAATCAGACATACAGACTTGTCACAACAGGGAGATGTAAAGGTATGCTTTAATACAACGGGTACATCAATGCTTTTCCTACTGTGACAAGTCAGCATCTCTGCTGGGAAACAGATTTGTTGACTAAAACATCAGTGTATGCTTTAGAGTACCACACTGACCTTATACATGGCCAGTTTAAACAAAAAAAACAGGTTATTATCAGCACAGCAGAATCAGAGCTATCATTTCCTCATTCCTCCTTATTTCTTATTTTTTCCCTCCTTGGGGACCTACGTTATTGGAATGAAACCTGACAGATCACAACACACCTGTTTTTTTTTTCACTTGTAGCCATGCCATGCCATTCTGGAGATACAGCAGCTTTTAAAACATATGCATTAGTACTCTTTTTAGTCTATACTATTACTTTAAATGTGTAAAAGGTTCTTAGATTTAAGTGGACCAAACCAGACGAAGAGCTATAACTAAACTGAACACAGCACTGTCCAGATATTTTGTATGTGACAAATGTTTCAGGTGAAACTGCAGTCAAAGACTGAACGTGTGAGCTGCCAGACACTGAAAGAATCAAGAAGAACACTCGTCTTAGACACATTTATGTGCTGCTTTCTTCCTTTAAAGACGGCAGGCAAACAAACACAAAAGACTGGGAAGGTTATGTTAAAAAAAAAAAAAACACCCAAACTAATTCTTGATGGAGCATGTCACAACTAAACTGCGAAGAATTTGACGACTTCTTTTGTAATCTGCAGTCAATAAATCATTAAGTCTCTGAAGCTTGAGGAGTTTCTGTGTGGGAGTTACAAAGTTGGAAAGTAATGCTGAATGGATGTGAATACTTGTGATTTTTTGGCCATCTATCCAACTAAAAAAAAAACATTTTTGGATGAATTAAGCAGAAAATTATGTCCTTCTGTGTTTTTGGAAAAGGTGAGAGCAGCATACTTCAGGCTGAAGAGGAGCAGGATTATCCAGAGCAAGCATCAGAGCCTGATCTGACGGTACGATTATGCATCAGTGGTAACAGTCATGGATATTTGGATGTCTGTGAAGGCACCGTGAATGCTGATCAAGACACGTTCAAGGTAAAAAGAAAGTAAACACATATCAAGAAAACAATAAAAAATAATCTGGTTTTCAGCAGATCTTAAAATTAGTCAAATAAAACCCCAGATGAGCTACAAAACATGACAGTAGTTTGCTGGTCTGGCGCATCGGGGCAGAACACAGCATATCAACACAAACAGCTCGTACCACTGGTCAAGCAAGGTGGTGGTGGTGGTGCAGCTACAGGACCTGAGCACCTTACAGTTACTGAGTCACTCCTCTGTTTACCAAAGTATTCTAGAGTCAAATGTGAGGTAATCGGTGCAACAGCTAAAACTTGTCCTACACTGGATCATGCTGCGTGACAATCATCCCATGCACAGCAGCAAATGTACAATAAAATGACTGAAAACGAAAAGAATCAAGGTGTTGCAAAGACTCGGTCAAAGTCCAGAGCTCGGCCTGATTGAAATGCTGCAGCTGAAGCGATAAGCTTTGATTATACTTTCCGCATCCGTGAGCCTACAAGGGTCCGTTCAGGTCAGAGTGATGGAAATTCCATCATCAGATAATCAGTTTGAAGGTCTGTGCCGATGTCTGAATGTCTGCCACTGTTTTTGAGACCATGTGTACCCATCCACATAGACTTTACAATACAGTGCGACAACTGCACATGGGCCTGTGGAGGCAGACTTCAAAAAAAGTATAACAGCAATGGCTACTCAGCCACCGTCTGCAGAAGGGTTATAATCAAAACTGTGTCAGCAAACTTCAGTGAACTGAAAGAGTATGGTAAAGCCTTCGCTGAGAGCTTCTCATTTGGCTCTCAGTGAAGGCGGTCGCACTTTTCTCCTCTCCTCCTTACCCTTATCTTCCCTGCTTAGCCTCTGTGTCCTTGTCTGTCTCATGTGCATTACTTTT